TATATTTACCACTGCCGGCAAAAAGCCGGTGAAATTACTAAGAAAGTATCATGATTATTACTGATTATAACATGTGATAAAGGCATAGTGTACACCTTGGGAGCCGGACCAAAAATGCTACAGGTCTGTGAGCGCTACCAAGTGGCCGTTCATAGTTGGAATTAATTTTTATGTATGGTGTATGTCTAACATGTTCCAGACGTTTACTCCAAAGGTTTGTTGTTTTGTTTTGGCTCCTTCATAAGTTTTGGCGAATTGAGTGTTGTTATACATACTTGTTATGATTTGCAAGGTTCAAATATGTCGATGTTCAGTCCATGTTCAGTCATACAAACGTTATGATTACTTTTTTTCTGTTAGCCGTTGCATAGTTACTGTTGCTGGGTGTTGCACTGACAGGGATTTGAACTGTACTGTCTGATTTGTTATCAATACAACTACTTAAAGTTAGACCTAAGTCAACATTTTTAGGGGAGTACACCACCGACATTAGAGTTATTTTCTTCTAGGTTCTGAACTTTAAGAGATTTAGGAGAGTTCATTAGTAGCGGCATATTCGTAAAGTCAGAGGTTCTCTTAGAATCGGACTTAATATTATAACATTTAGGATTATGATGCATTTGTGAATTTGAAGCTAGTGGTCTGTAACTAGGTCTTCCTGTTTTTCGCTGATATGTTGTTCCATCTGGAAGAATCCTAATATCCTTGAAAGTCTTTTTGTCTCATCGTCCTGGAGAAAGTTAGGAAATCACTGGGGTCTACAAATGAGTTTGCTTTGAACAGGATCATTGAGTGAAGATCAGGGTGGCTATTAACTCTAAGCAGATCAGACTAGAGATTTTTAAGGACATATGTGCTTGGCATATTAAACACAACTGTATGGCTAGATCGTCTTATTCTTCCAAACACCTCTGAAGTAACACGATCTAGGAAATTATGTGTCATTCATCTGATCTGGAATCTCTGTGCTGTTGGGGTTGATGAGATACTTAAGCGGATTGAGAATGTATATGTAAAATGTCAACATTTTTATGTCATCCATATGGTTGTAGTTGCAACTGTCATCATTGTTTACCAATAGAGTCTTTAACATGTCTCGAATGGCGAGAACTAGCACAAGCTTATCTGCCTCTGGATGAGGGGAGTAGCTCGTTTCGTTGAAACTGCCTGAAACCGTATCGCTAGTGATGTTAGATCGTATCGTTTTACCAAGTTTGACTGGATGCCTGAAGCGGGGTATTTCAATTATTTTCGAGGCATGATAAGAAAGGGATGAGTAGCATGCGGACTGAACAAAGTGTTAGAAATAGAAACAGGTGCAAAAATCAAGGCCGAGGGCTCAAGATAGTTTGGAAATCAAAAACCTTTGTTTGAAACACTAATGAATGTATCGTGGATATTACTGAAGGTGTCAAATACAAGACAGAAAAATGGCAGGAAGATTGTAGTAGATATGTAACAGTAGAGGTAAAATAGGACATAAATGCTCATATTCGGTAAATTTTAACAAGTAGATTACACCGAAAGATAGCCCCAGATAACAAAGCAACCTAGAACTGTCGACAATTAGTATCATACAATCGAAGTGGATACGGTGTATCGTACATATATGAACTAAAAGCCTGTATTGGTTAAAATTTGGAATGCAGAGATATGTAGTTTTAAAGATTAACACCATCTAGAATTATTATGATCCTTTAGGACTGAAATATAAGAAAAAAATTTTGGATTAAAAAAACACTGACCAAAAACCAAGACGGACTTTTAGTGGCATCGGGCCCTAACCACACAATCCTCAAAGCTGAACATGAGACTTTTTGGAAAATAGATATGAAACATTTAACGCGGAGAAAACTCAATGATGAATAAGGCGGGAACAATGAGTTCGATTAATTCAAATTGATCGGATTTCATGACTAGGCCTTGCAGGCGTGGTCTTACATTACTTTTATCCATAGCAAATATATTGTTCTATATCTAGCCTAAGCCTGTTCTCCAGCATGTATGGATTATTGTTACAACGCGATGAATCATGGTAGGCAATGATATGACTTCCATGTAAGATCTTATAGATTAGGTAGTTACATCATAGTAAATCTACAATTTTAGGATTAAGTCTATTATTGGAGCAGTACTTATATCGAAATAGACCATAATTCTACAGACCTGTCAAATCGAACAGGTAGTTTCGGAAATTAAGTAAGTTATAGCATCTAAATACTATAGTATATGAAATCTTATGTAACTTTCAGGGTACAGTGCTTCATCATATGTGATCATATATTTCTTAAAGTTAGATATAGGTTTGAATAGGGCATGTAAACACATGAATTATGTAAGTTATAGCATCCAAACACGGTATAAGGAATAGTATGTAAATATGGAACGCAACTCTTCGTCAAGTATTTGGTTTGAAAGTGACAAAATATTGTTCTATCGGATAGTCCTAATAAATAAGTAACTACATGAATACGAATTTTTTACATGACCATAATTGTCTAGACCATGAATATGTGAAACTGAGATCTTATCGAAATTTACAGTTTAACTGAATGGAGTTATGTTTCGTATTTTCGAGAGGTCGTTATTCAAAAAATCCTTTGAGAAACAATTGTTAGAAACCACAGTTGCCTTGGCTTTATTTCGGCACACTAGAAATTCCATCATATATGTCTATCTTAGACTTAATCTTCACACATGGCGATGATGTAAACGAAATGGGGTTCCTCCCACATACAGGGAGAACTGACCATTAGATCATCTTATTCGAGCTCAGGGTTGTTATGGTCTATCAAGCGTTTACGCCGGCGCGTCTTAATATGTGGAAGGCACATGTGAAGGCTGTTGACTCTGCAGCCTCGACAAAAAGTCGAAAAATAGACTCCGGCACATCAGTGAGTGAAGCATGGACCATTTGTTGCAGTTATACAATCATGTAACCCAACCATTGCTACCCTGCATAATCCAAAAAAGAAGAAGCATGGCCATTCCGGAATAAACTGAGAGATCCAATTCTTACTAAGGCAGAATTAGAAAATGATGAAACGCTTCCAACTATATTGGCACAGGAAGTACGATGGAACGCTATAAACTGTTCCGAAATAGGTGTATAAATATAGTTCGTGAAGTTCAGCGGAAATACAAAAAGCATTTGACACAATCTGTAATCAAGCAGCCGAAGAGATTGTGTGAGTACATTAATTACAAAACATAGACTCGCCATAAGATTCTCAACCTGACTATGGAAGGGCATGCATCCAAAATGATAGAGGAAGATCAGAACAAAGCAGAATGCATAGTAGGTTATTTTATGACAGCTTTTAGTCAGGAGCCTCTTTTAGACGAAAGACTAGATCCAAATACAAGGTCATCAAACCGACCACTCATTAGAGACTTTGGTTGGGACGACTAAACAAAGGTTATTTGAGCTGTGGACACGGAAAAGCCGATGGGACCAGATGAAATGCACCCTCAAGTTATGAGACAAGTTGCTTAATGTACTGCTGTCCCACTGAATACGATATTCAATATGTCACTTGGTCAGAGTGTGTTACCTACGGACTTCGACTCATAAAACGGGATCAAGACAACTTCCAAAAACTAAAGAACTGCCAGCCTGATTAATGTCATAGTTAAAAAACTGGGAGGGAAAATCAAAACGGACATAATGATATTTGTGGAAACCAACAACTTGTTAAACAGCGAACAAGATGGTTTCACAAAAGGTTCTTATAGAATAACAAACCTCGTTATAGCAAGGGAGCAATGGATAGAGGTACTAGACAATGGAAAATCAGTGGATGTTATCCACGTAGACTTCAGCAGAGCTTTTGATAAGGTGCGAAAAAGCAGACTACTCTGCCGAACCTCTCCTTAAATGAGACAATGGTTTCTTGGTGTTTCGTATTGAGAAAATGAGAAAAAATTTCAAATACTCCTAAAAACTAGTACTTAATAGATTACAGTGAGGCTCTGTCCTAGGTCCTTACTTTTAATGCTGAATGTAAATGGACTTTGGAATAACCGTGTGTCACGATTGTAAGACGGCGCTTTACTATTGAGTGGTCATAACTAAGCGGTACTGAACCCTTTGGATTTTAACTTAGACATTTACCAAGTTAAATACTAATGTGATCACTGCAGTATACACAATCTTAGCAAGATCTCAAATTGAAAACTGCGTTCAGGCTGCATGCCCCTGTTTAAAAATCGACTCGAAAATTCAAGGGGCAGCTACCCGTGCAATGCTAGGACTCCATGGTTTACCACAGAGAGGCATGAAAAGCTTGATCTCATCACACTATTCCACTGTAGACTCGGAGTTAATCTGGTTTTGATGTTTAGTATGCGGAACAATGATAGTTCCTCTCTCTCCTTACTAGATCAGGACAAATCAGAGAACATAGCAGGCGAGTCTCAAAAGACACGAGTTAACAAAATACCCGTAGCATACAGGTTTTCTACACCGAATAATCAAACCTTGGAAAATTTTACCCAAAGATGTGGCGTCCCCATTTTTAACCGACTTAGCCAAAAGTAAACTAGACACTCGCAGAGGCTTGCCAGAAAGGGGCTAACAGTGAACTTAGGTCTTCTGTCATCAGTGCACAAACCTATATATCTGAATTCGAATCCCGTGATTTTAGCCGGATGCAATCTGCTGAACAACTAACTCACCATGTGACAGCTAATGTGGCTATCAGTATCGCGTTACTGCTGGACAAGTCACATAAGCAATGAAAAAGAAACAAAACAAATCAGTTAGTTTATACTAGCTTGTCGTAGATAAACAAAATTGTACATTATTACCATATTTCAACTGCAAAATGGCCGGCTATAGCAGCTCAACAACCTTAGTGTTAAGTACAATGAATTATTATGATGAATTGTTTTACAAATACGGTCATTCTAAAGGTTAAACTTCAATTACTTAAAAATTGAATGTCCAAGTTGGGAATCAACAGCCCAGAGGCGCCAGACGCAGTTTATTGAGCATCGTTATGGATTCAAACGAGGAATTTGTTGTTGTTAACGAAGAAAATGATAATCGTCGTGATGCTGTGGCCCGCCTCGATGTTCTAGTTGATTTATTTAAGCAGACAATACGTAAACCACATAATTTATCTGGTTATTTTTGTCAGGCACTCTCAATCAATCGAGTATCCTGCTGAAGGATGAATTACAAACTGCCATCACTGTAACCCTGCAAAGTAGTACACCAGATCATTCATCGACTGTTGAACACTTAGTAAAGCAGCTAGATGATATTGTAAGACTGTGCCTACATCATATTTTCTAGTCGGTAAGCCCCGAGGAAGTGCGGAAGACCTACGTGAGGCAGCTGTGTTCACGACTAGTTGCCGTCAATGAAGAGAAGCAAGTTGTTATGACAGAGCTAGTGGAATTAAATAGTCAGCTTCGTAAAGCAGAAGCAGAGACTCGCGTATGTCACCAGTTCCTAGAGCTTCACTCCTAACGGACTTTCTTTTAGAAATGGAAGAAAGTCATTGAGCCGATTTTGAAGATTGAAACAGAGATCAAAAAGTTTGACTCAACGCTCTCGTAAGTCTTCTCATTTTAGTATTAAGTACAAATCATCTCAAAATTAATTCTAGTTCTAAAGAAGCTGTTTCGGACGAGACTGGATCGCTTCTTAGCGACGACAGTACGGTCGATGATGTGTGCAACTTCCTTAATTCTATGCATAACAGAATTCAGACCTTGCACACTGAGGCAGCTGCAATGAAAAGTAGGTCTAGCACTTTTAAAGTTGATGTGACAATGTGAGGTCACGAAGTGTCATCCTTTCTTTGTTCGTTTTAGCCATTCATTTGCATTTCCGCCAATTTGGTGGGATCGCAACTTGAACTGCTACTTGTATCAACTTTTTAATTCAGTTGGCTACATGGCCGCATAATTATATGTTATAACTACCTGCCCGTGGCTGCTAAGTTGGTGTTTCTCTCAGGCAACCATCATGTGCAGTGATGTTACTTCCTCACGATGGAAGGAAGGAATTATGAAAGGTCGACCCTAAAAGTATCACACCTTCGGCGGTAAGGCCTTTCCAAGTGCGGAGCCTTGCGTGACCGGTCGCAAGCAATCATTCCTTGGGGTCTGCGGTCACGTCCACAGGTCGGTAAAACTAGTAATTCAGCTCCTTTTTCAGGCTCTTTAAACTTAATGCTATATTCACGGCATTAAGTCTACAAAACTGGCCGTCAAGATCAAGAGCCATAATATACGGAAGGTAAATCACACCTGTTTTCAATACTGACTACGTAACATCATGTGAATTGCCACTTTAATCCTTTACTCATATTTCAAAGACGCAGTATATATCAATTACATTGGATTCTGAAGTCATATCTAAGGTATCTTGTCCTCCATGACATGAAGTCCGAACACCAAAAGGTTCAGCATGCAGTTTAGAACGCAGTTTTGAGTTGGCCAGGCACAATTTTTGCTCTATGTTGTTTAGTTGCTAACCCAATCCTAGTATTTGTAGCGCAACAATTATCGTCTTTTTTTCAACCACACAACTAGAGTAAAAACCAGTTTATTATATGAAGCGTTTAGATGCCTCAGTATCCAACTGAATATAATACAATATCCACAAATCCCTGTACTGATAAAAATCATGTGCTCACTAGTGACTAGCTTTTAGAAAGATTCCCTGGACTCCTAGTGAGGAGCCGTGACCAGTGGAGTCCAATATGTATCGGGTGTGACACAGTTATCCACCTCAAACCATGGTTAGGGGTTGCGCATGATCATGGTTCCCCAGTATACTCGATACATATATATTAAGTTTGTCGATTATATATCAGTAAAAAATGATCTGGATATTTAGACTGAGTGTTTGAATTAAAATATTATTTATTTATTTGGACACAAATATTAGTACAAGAGGGCACCAAATATATATGCGCCATACAAAACAATGAGAATTCGGAGAGAGAAAAGGAAGGGGCGTAAAAAAGAGCGATAACGAACAGATTAGTGTAAGGTAGTGTAATAATAAATAAATGATGATGGAGGTAACGGAAAGGTACAATCAGAAGAAACCTCTCAGTTAGGCAAGAAACAACCATTTTTCTAAAGAGTGAAATAAAGTTACAGCAGGATCGCCACTGGCTTCTATTCTGAGCCATATCTGATAACGTCTCTAGCCACTGTGTTGCGCTATCTCTCGGACCCCAGCCAGGGAGTAGTGAAGGACCAACACAAGCCAGTCCTTTGCAGCTTTCCTTCATACCACGACACCATGTCATACGCTGACCACCTCCGCTTTTTCCAACCAGTCCCAGAGTCGGCAAATAATGCACGACGTGGAATCCTCTGGGACGACATTCGTAGAACATGTCCAAGCCACCGAAGTCAGTGTTTCAAGATGGTGACACCAATCGCATTATCATCTCTGTGCCCGAACACACGATGTCGAACCTCTGCATTACTAACATAGTGTTGCCACTGGATGTCAGCAATCCTTCGGAGACAACGATGGTCGAACACATAGAGTCGTCCAACATCCTCAACTCGAAAAGGCCAGGTTTCACAAGCATAGAGCAAAACTGCTCTCACCGACGAGTTGTAAATCCGGCCTTTTACATCCAGACTGACATCACGAAGGTGCCAAAGATGGTCCAGATTGGCATAAGCTGCTCTGGCTTTCACTATACGTGTAATGATCTCATCACTCACGCGACCACCAGCACTTATGCAGCTACCTAGGTACACGAACTTCTCGACTACTTCTATCTGCTCATCATCCGGGGTGAGTACGAGATTAGAATCTTGCCAGTCTTGTAAAAGTACATACCATACCTATGGACACTGATTACCAACTGATTAAGTGCGGATTGCATGGCTTGGGCATTATCGCACAGTAAGACAATATCATCCTCATACTCAGATCCACACCGCTATTACTTACATCCATCAGGGCTGTTTCCAGAATGTCGTCGATGGCAAAGTTGAAGAGGGATGGTGAGATTGGGCAACCTTGTCTAACCCCACTGTTTGAATGGAACAATGGAGAGAGGTGGTTGTATTCCCTCACTCTGCCTGAGGTGTTTGTATATAGTGGTTTTAGGATGTTAATCAACTTCTTAGGCACACCCTTCTTCAATAGACAATCCCAGAGAACAGTCCTGTCCAACGAATCAAAGGCAGCCCTGATGTCAAGAAACACTACGATTGTTGTTGATAAGTATGGCAGTGTTCTAACATTTGGCGGAGAGTGAAGATATGATCAATACATCCTCGACCGGAACGAAAACCGGCCTGCTCCTCTTGATTCAATCTTCCTCGGGTTTTGAACAACCTACAAAGTATGACGGAAGCCAATAGCTTGGACGCAGTTGGAAGTAGACTTATCCCCCGATAGTTCTTACAGGAACAACCTGAACCCTTTTTAGAGATAGGGACAACTATCGACTAATTCCATGACGTTGGTACACTCTCTAGCTCTCAGACCTTTGTAAACAACATCGTCAGTTCCTTAGCCAGAAATCACCACCATCTTTAAAAGGGGCCAGAGGTAAGTCATCTGGGCCAGGTGATTTGTAGAGCTTCAATAGTTGGGGTTCCTTGCCCATCGTCCAAGACGTCGATGGATGTTAGTGATTGGCATCCCGTCTTCCTCGCAGATTGTTTCGCTCACACCAGGCTTCCTGCTGCCAGTGGCTCGGATGAGTTGGAAGAGCTTCCGGTAATTACCAGATGCAGCTGCTGCTCCCAGTTCATTAGCACGCTCCGACCGCCAGGCTTCCCGGTCCGTACGCAAGCTTTGCCCACTTTCATTACGTAACAGTCGTCTTTTGTGATCAAACTCACGGTCACTCGGAGTAGACTGACGGGCTTCAATGAGTTGTAAGGAGCCTGAAGAAACCCAGTGCTTATAAGCGGGACGTTTCGCGAACCCACAACTGACTGTACCCGTGCAATTGCAGCCAATGCTCATCTATACTTTTCGGTGAAATGGTAGCTAGCCTAGAAGCTAGCTCGATTCGATGCTTACTAGCAACGGAAGTTGCAACCAGCTTGCTAACATCAATCCGTTGGTGGCGGTCACTTCGTTGTCCACTGAAAAGTAAGGTAAGATTGGCGCAGACCAAGGCATGGTCAGAGTCCACATAGGTACTCCGAAAGGAGCGGCAATCTTGTACACAACCACGCCAACGGTAGCTGATCGCGATGTGATCAATCTGAGTCCAGGATTGAGATGTAGAGGGAGGGCGCCAGGTGGCACATCGGCGATGACTGTGCCGAAAGTTAGTGCTAGCCAGAAACAGGTTGTGGTCTGTGCACAGTTGCAGTAAACGGTCTCCCTTACCTGAAAGATTTCTTCCGATTGTACCTTTGCGTTCCCTGTTTACTAGCACATTACCTTACACCAATCTCTTCGTTATTGTTCTCTCTTTTTTTGTGCTCCTTAGCTTCTTTTTTTTTCTTTCTTTGTATTCCTCTTCGAATATTCATTGTTCTGTGTGGCGCATATATATTGGCGCTCTCTTGTACCAATATTCATGTGTCCAAATAAATAAATAAGACGGCCTCGTTATCTGTCCTACGACCAACAAGTCCCCATCGGCCACCTAAACGACTATCTTCTGTGCCTAGATGCCCGACCTGAGCATTCAAGTCTCCGGCTAGTACTACAATATCTGTCGAACGCACTTTCTGGAGAAGAACAGTTAACTGGTGATAGAATTCATCCTTGATTGCATCCGGGCTGCAATCTGTCGGGGCATAGGCGGAGATGACGAAGAGACATCGTTTCTCACACCGATTTCTTCTCACTTTGATGGAACTTTCTAATCTAATAGCACATGACCGAGTGTTAATGGGGATCCAATCGATTAGTGCTGCCTCAGATCTAGCGCTTAGTGCGATACCAAGGCGAGCAAGACCAGACGAAGATGCCACAGTGTCCACAGAAAAACACACGTAAAACAAGCTTTTTGAAGCGACAGATAGAGAGCGAATTTGTAGTACTTCACCAGAGTCTTGAGTACAGGTCTCGGATAGACAACAAACATGGATATTAAGACTTTCCAAAGACATAGCCAGCCCTATTGTTGCTTGACCTGCATAAGTGTACGAACGTTGAAGGCAGCCAGTTCGAATGGTGCACGTGGTTTCAGAAAAACTGCTTCAGTATTCGTATTTGGTGTTAGCATACAATTTTCAGCCAGACAGTGATTCGATAACGTCAAAATAGAACCGAGTTTCCACCTTAGGTGAGCTGCTGTAATTCGAAAAATAAGGATATATAAAGTGGGAATAAAAGAGTAAATGACGTAGTAAATAATAATAATTTTTTGACTGTAAATCGAAGCGAGAATATAGTTTTCAGTAAATACCATCACTTTCATTATATTTGTGTGTGGACTGTAATACTGCCCGGGTGTCCAGACCGAAGCAGCTGGTTTTCTTAGGGGGCCACACCCCGAGCCTCTGACCCACAAGGCAGTGGATCATCGTGAGATGCAGTCCCATGGTAGCCAGTGACCAACGATTGGTTCATACGCCACTTGTTCCCTCAGGACACTGAGGCCCTATGTGCACCATTGGTTTGGGATCCGGTTAAAGCGCCAGACATTCGCTTTTCGTCCTCTCATTTTCGTAAACAACAGTAATGCCACGAGAAGGAAGTGAGTAGGGCTTCCCTGACAGAGGCTGTATACGCGTGGCCGTGTGAGAGCATTTCGAGAGGGAGGGCGGGCCCACTCCCGACCATACGGGTTATTAAAGTCCTAATAGTATTGTTCACACTAAATAATTTTCTGTAACGGAATTTCAGCGTAATAGTTACTGGTTCGCTTGTCGTAAGTTGTAGCTTAAGATTGCACAACCGCAGCAACATTTGGTGAACCTGATTCGTTAACATTGGTGGTTCATGGACTTAAAGTCGTGGGAGAAGGGTCAATCATGGAAACATTTATTTTATTTAAACACAAGCATTGGTACTAGAAGTCACCAACTATACATGTGCCACACTTCCTCATTCGGTTGGTGTGAGGGCTAGAATACTATCAGGGCTCCCAAACTGCGACAGGATCATGGGAGCAGTAGAAATATCGGGAAGTGACGAAGAAATTTGATCACGAACAAGATATCGGACGTTGTTAGAGGTATAAGGCCGGCCATTACTTTTTGAATGCCCATAGAGCAGAAGGATACTTGATGTACCTGTAGAGGAAAGTTTATTAATTTTGACCTTAGTCTAGAAGAGTAACTGCATAGCCCAATGAGCAACCTCCTTAAGTCGACCACACACGGCCTTTTTTGAAGGTTTCCTACTGCTTTATCTCTTTACTTTAAAAATGCCTTCCGGAGACGAAAATACGTGTAGTAAGATGAGGTATTATGCTTTTAGGGTTCACTTTTCCTAGCCTCTTCTATCGTTGGGTAACACCACTACAGAAGCTAGCTGTCTGAGGGGAACATCTTACTGGTGTCGCACCCCTATGCAGTCAGCGGTGTGGCTTCGACCTCGAAACTTATAGGTTTACAATTCTCCAACCGCCCTATCTGCCATAGCAGGACTTAGTAGGACCTAAAAGAACAATTTCCCTAACTAATATAACTCGATTTAATCATCACGATTGTCAGTCCCGACCACCACATCAACTTAGCAGCTATGGTATAGAAATGGATTATGTAAACATAGTGAGTGTCAAATATATCCATTTTGTGGAATTTCTTTAGTGCATTTTGTGATTGAACTTTGTCGATTGGATTTAGATGTGTAACTTTTTTCTGTTAACTTTCAGAAACCGATAAAAGCACTTCGGAGACATACACTCAAGTTTATTTGGCGAACAAGCTACAAAATTCCCCTGATAAACACTGCATGAACAATATGAACTCTAATGGTATTCAGGTGGATAGTCACACATTAAAGTTTGTTACTTGTTTACCAGATGAGATCCCGTTGCCATCTACGGTAAGTTCTTCAAATAGCCTGGAAATATTGTACAGTTTTGGTTGTAAAAGGTGTATCAGCTACCTCGTACATTCTTCTGCACAGTATCAATGCAAATATGTTGAGCTTCAATTATATTTCTATAATTCACAATAGAACGTATCACTCCCTTTCAATTTAAGGGTCCAAGTATATAGATTTACTTAGAATACGGATTTCTGAATTTGTGTTCTTGTCGTAAAATTATTTCTGTCTTTTCGATGGGAAGTATACATAAAGTAAATATTTATCTTTTATCATTGTTATTTTGATGAGTTCCCAATTTTTACCACTCAAACCAATTTCTCTCTAAATTCAGGTTTCTTCTAATGCCCCAAACCACGAAACTCCAGCCTATACTAGCCTTGCAAAAGAGGCGATTGATCAGGTATGATATATTTTATATATAATAAAACAATTTATCCAGCAAGGTTATCTTTTATGAGTTTATTCTGAAGCTGCACAATCCCAATTACATGTAACAAATTTTAGGTCAGTGAAGAACCTTATTAGCGCGTCCAGAGAAAAGAACAGAAATAGTGCTACTGGATTGGGTAAACTACATAGATAAAATCAAAAAAATTATTATCTGATGATAGTAATCTTTCGAAGTTAGATAAAGAAAATAAAGCAATCCAGAGGCAGCTTACAGATATTCTCAAGCGTTTGAACAAAATATCCTTTAATAACATCTGACCAATTCAGAATAATAAAACCAGGTCCTATCATACCCCAGACTATATAATTTACCTAAGGTACATACCCTTTCGTCTTATTCTCTACATAACTGGATCATTGTACCATTATGTTGCAAAGTGAATAACTCATGTTCTTGAACTAATTCGAAGAGATGTTTGCAAGTATTCTCTGAACGATACGTTTAAGATTGTCAATTTTGTAAGTAGTGTAAACGTTTCGAATAGGATTTTGATTTCATTTGACATTAATTCATTATTTACGGACGCACTGTTGATGGAAACCGTATGTTTCATTTGTGTGTTAAAGATCTTATTCTGATGTACACCTTAAATTTACATTTCACCTTGTAAACCTCCACTTTAGGGTAGATATTGCCGAATTTATACTAAAAAGCGGTCTAAAACTATTAGGAAAACGTATATATATAGTTATTATTGATAACCTTTTGTCATTCCGATTCTTTTCATTCACCCATGTCAATTGTTTCACATCACATCTTACCTCAATGTCGAATTTTACTACATAGTTGGTTGTAAGCAGCTGATGAGAAACCACTAAATAAACTTACTTACGCCTGTTACTCACAATGAGGCATAGGCCGCTGACCAGCATTCTCCAACCCACTCTATCCTGGGTCTTCCCTTCCAGTTCTATCCAGTTTCGTCCACTTTTCTCATGTCTGCCTCCATTTCCCAAAGTAATGTGTTCTTTGGTCTCCCTCTTTTCCTTTGGCCTTGAAGATTCCATATGAAGGCTTGCCTTGTGATGTAGTTGGGTGTTTTACTCAATGTGATTCCTATCGGCTTCCTAATTTCTTCCTCCTCTGGCATCTGGTTTGTTTTCTCCCACAGTAAGTTGTTGTTGATAGTATCTGGCCAACGGATCCGAAGTATTTTGCGTAGACAACTGTTAATAAACACCTGTATCTTTTGGATGATGGCTTTTGTAATTCTCAAAGTTTCCACCCCATACAGTAGAACTGTGTTGAAAATTCTGACTTTGATGTTGGTTAACAGATTTTTTGAGTTCCAGATGTTCTTCAATTGTAGATATGCTGCTCTTGCTGCCCGGAGTCTGGTTGAGGGTTATTCTGAATTTGTTGAGTTCGTCAGTATCCCGAAAAAAAGCTGTATTAAACTTTCGTGATGTTGTCCGCCCCATTGTCCGGTGCTTCGTGGGTTTCAATTTCATCTTGGCGACCAGCAGATGGTCTGATACTATATCAGCTCCTCTCTTGGTTCTTACAGCATCCATTGTCCTCCTGAAATTTTTTATGATGCAGTTATGGTCGATTTGGTTCCGCGTGGTGTGATCCGTTGAGGTCCATGTGGCTTTGTGTATGCGTTTATGTGGGTATATAGTGCCGCCTATGACCAGTTTGTTAAAGGCTCACAGGTTCGCAAGTCTCTCACCATTTTCGTTCCTTTCTCCCATTCCATGTCGTCCCATGATGTCTTCATATCCGGTGTTGTTCATCCTAACCTCGGCATTTAGGTCTCCAATCAGAATGGTCAAGTCCTTTGTTGGGCACTTCTCGACGATTGACTGCAGCCTATTGTAGAATTGATCTTTAACGTCTTCATTGTAGCCGTTGTTAGGCGTATAGTATTGAATGACGTTCATTGTAATGCCCTCTTTCTTTGTTTTGAAGGAGGCTTTGATGACCCTTGGTCCATGAGATTCCCATCCTATAAGTGTATTTTGTGCTTGTTTGGTTGGCATGAATGCAATTCCTTGTGTATATGGGGAATTTTCTTCTTGATGGCTGGAGTATAACCGAAACTCCCCTGAAACTAGTGTTTGCTGTCCAACCTGCATCCAATGTGTTTCACTGATTCCGAGAAACTCCATGTTGTATCGGCTAATTTCTGCAGTAATTTGGAAGACTCTCCCGGTCTCCCACATTGTACGAACATTCCGTAGACCTATCCATATTTTAAAAGCTTAGTTGTGCGTGCCATGATCATAGTTTGTAGTTTGATTTTGCTTAATTGATTGTTCCCTTTCTTTGTTCCTACCCCTAAGTTTACAAAATGATTCTACTTTAAATAGAGCAAGAACAAAGATTGGTGCAGAATAATATGAATTCATTTTATTTCGTTAGGTTCTCATCAGCTGCTTACAACCTAAATTATTTGAAATTCAAATTATTACAGATATTGACATGCAATAAATCTGCTAGAGTTTTTCATCAAAGCACATCCGAATATCCATGAAAAAGAAATTAAGTTTCATTTTCTCGATATCGCGATGAAAAGAAGAAAGGATGGTACAGTTCAACGTCCAATCAGTTACAAAAAAGCAGTGGTCAAAACACTTTCACAGAACAGAAAGAATATATACTTCCGACACATTAGAAGAGGAAGTTATGAATGTTAAAAAAATGTTTAAAGAATAACAGATACCCACTGAAATTTAAGAAATACGGCAAATGTGAAGATAAAAAGCCGAAAGAAATTACAGTAAATAAAAAGCCTATTTTATTCAACTTCAAAGGTGACGATGTCACAGGATCAATCAATATGAGACTAAAAACTGCACTGACAAGAAGTTATCCTGCAGCGAAATTGATTGTCCTGTCCAAAACAACATGTTCTTTGACACATCAAAGGTCGACAGGTATCCCTTTCATGTTACCACCAACTGTGTATACAAGTTTACATGTACCTGCCAAAGCAGTTACATTGGTAGAACAGAAAGGAGAGCCTACGTCGGATTCAAAGAACATATTCCAAAAAGTTTAAGGTTGAATGGATTGAACGCATTCAACAGTGTTATCGCAAGACATCTCCTTGATACAGGACATAAAGCTGATATACTGAAGTCCTTCAAGGTGATTAACAAACAATCAAACTCCAACCTTTTGAAATTCGCTGAATCGTTAGCAATCAAACGTTTAAAACCAGATCTATGTATACAAAAAGAGACAGTAATAAATCTTTCTTTACCATGGTAACAATAACCCCCACCCTTTCTATTCATTTGCTCCTATTTATTTATTTATTGCGTCATTATCGCAACTCTTTCTGAAGTTTAAATTACATCATACATAAATGATTGATTTCAGTTCATTTTTTTTTATTACTATTAATCTATTTTCATGAGTTCTAATCACTATTTCAATGTTCCAGAACTTTCCCTCTCAAACTTTATTTATTTATTCGAATCAAACATTTTATGAGCTCATTAACTCTATCTGAATCTTCGCTACATCATCATACATATGTATTGATCCTTAATCACACTCTTATGTATAAATATGTCAATATCTGTAATAAGTTTGAATTTTCAAATAATTTAGGTTGTAAGCAGCTGATGAGAACCTAACGAAATAAAATGAATTCATATTATTCTGCACCAATCTTTGTTCTTGCTCTATTTAAGATAATAAAGGGAACTATGTGTATGAAGATTCTACTTTACTCTGATTTATTATTATTAATCCAGATTTTTTGATTACCGTTCACATACTTTCATTTCAACCACACTTATCACCTTATTGACTACGTATTCTACATTTTTCGTAGTTTTCCTTGAATAACTATCTGTTTATTTACAGTGATGTGGTCGAATTTCATAGAATTAATCAAATTCCAACAGATATATTATTACTCGTTGACCTGTAGTCTATCACATATGTGTACGACTGTACATCTTTGAAAATGAACTCGTTAAAAAGGATTCCTTTGCTGAATAAATTGTTTTATGGTTTATAGGTTATATTTGATTTTTTTTTAATAGTTATCATCTAATTATATCATTGACTACGGTTCCCCTAGTATACATTTTTGTCTCTCAGAGGATATCATTTAGGACTTCGTACTTCTACAGGACCCAAACTAATAGTTGACTTCATGAATTCGTACTGTTTTGAACTGGTTGCATTTAGTTTTTTTCTGACTCAGACCTACTTTGTCGATATCGAGCTAGACAGTAGCTTGACACTCAATATGCAGTAGCTTAGTTGATCACTGAGCACTTGGTCTTCAACCAATAGCTTCCAGGATCAAACCTTCATTCAGTTGAGTAGTAGGTATTGTTAACTCTGTTACGAAGATTGTGTTTCAGCTTAGCGCATAACTATCTACTTAGTGATTGCATTACATTGATTCATGTTATATTCGCGGTCATATTGCTTATGCTTTAAAACTGGAGTCACTATTTCGACAACGCGAAGTAAGAACACGAAATACTAATGCAATCAAAATTAACTAGAAAAAAGCTTGAAGAGGTTAGAACAAATACAATCATCTATATACTGATTTTAAATAAATTTGATTAGTTAATAAACATCATATAAATGTAAAAATACATAAGTTTACAGTAAAACAAAGTTTACACTTGTCATACTGAACAAAAATGTTCCATTGAGAATAAAAATAATGTCCCATTGGAAACGAAAACTGATGTCACGGGATGTTGCACTGAGTTCAAGTCATGTGTTATAAGCATCTATTCACACAAATATAAATGTCCAACATTCTTTAAATTGCTAAATATTCGGTTTGCATTATTGGCTTGATCGATAATACGATTTTCACTAGAATGTAGTAGCAAACAAAATTAATTCTATTCGTACTCCGTTTTGTTATTTTTTATTTCAGTGTTGTGCTTTAAAAACTATCAGTACTGACCTAAATAACTAACACTTTTGATTATTTTCCAAACCTTTGACAAATCTGATTAAAGAATTGAAACCATGTCGTTGGTTATTTCAAAAATAGGTAGTGAATTAGTTTATTTCTACTTTGGACCCTCTTTGTGCAATGACACATCACTAAATTTCCTACATAAAACAGGATGATTATACTACAAAAATAACTTGCTTATCTTTCAGTCTTCCAAATCTGTCTTGCAATTATACGGTGTTACTCATAAACTGAAGCCATACCTTTTTTAACTAATAAGCTTACTGGTTTCTAATTATCTTTGTTTTTATAGGCTTCACTAATGAGAAATATTGATTTGAAGGAACTTGTTCGTGAAGAGGTCTTACGTATCTTAAGTGAAAGGAATCAAGATTTTTCAACACCTAGCACAACAACTTCAGTGGCATCACTGTCAGATGATAAACTCTTAGCTCCAGTAGCTAACACACCACCTGCTCAACCAGAAACTTCTGTAACACATAATGTTCCAAGTGCACCAAGTATTTTAAATCTTTGGCCACATCTTTCTTTTAATGGTGTCTCAAGTAAACATGTACCCGCTCCATTGACAGCTGGTGAAGAAGTTACAGAAATTTCCAACATCAACGAATTTAATTCAACTCCATCTGCTCCTGACAACAGTTCAGAGGTAAATGTTTCCTCAATATTTTTTGTTCAATAGTTGTCTAGCATTAAAAAGTGAAAGTATTTTTATAGAAGTTCCATCAAACGTGAGTTGTGACCTTGTTGTATCTGTGTAGATTCAGGAATGACATTTACAGCAGCTTGGTATCTCTTAATCAATGCAATTGTTCGGAGAAAATTAATTTGCAGATCAGCCAATCAGCTAAAACGTAGGACCAAGCATATATATATATGCATCGGTCCAAGTTACCACACCTCATTAGCACAACAAGATGAACACCATATTCAGAGAAACAGTAACTTCAGTTGTAGTAGTATATAAAAGAAAGATTGTGTATAAGCATGTAGTACAGGAAGGAAGGATTAACTGATAGAAAGATATAAAGCAATTTTAATTTCACTGTCTAAGGGAAGACAGACTGTATACACCGACGCCATTGTGATCGGTTCTGAGCAATGTCACCAAGAGCTCCAACCATTAGTTACGATAGTCACGCGGACCCAAAAAAACTTTATGTCGTATTTTGATAACGTGTTTAGTATATTATGGTCAAGTTATCCTCCTAATGTTACTAAATGTCACAAGCTGCTAAATTAGAGTTAGATAAGAATTCTAATTTCACTATAGCTATCGAGACTGCTTTGTTTGGTACTTTTAACTTAGGAAATAAACCAGCACAATTCATCACTTGAATAAATAAAGGTTATTTGCAGCTTCCTCATTTGATCCTTGTAACATATTGATGTGATATATAAGCTTCTACTTTATGTAACAGGGTTGTTTAACCAACAATACTGTAGACCGCCCCCGTAAATGTGTGTACTGAAACCTTGGTACACTAAATTTTTACTTGTTAGTTATCTGAAAATGGCGGAATCCCTTCTGAACCTAAAACATTGATGCCCTCATTTTTATCCTATGTTGGTGGCTTTGTTCGCCGCCAAATACAGCAATTGACGGAGAATCAAAACAATCGTTCCAATTATGGGTCATGGTTAACCGAACTGGGTCTCAATCCTTGTGAGGAGTCGTTCAACAAACCTATGGAGAGGCCATCTGTTCCAAGTTATTCAGTTGATGAGGTAAGTTTCGTTTGGCGCTCATTTATAATGGGTTGTTTCTTCAGTACAGTTTTCATATCATGCTTTTATTAACAAAATACAGATTATTACTAAAAAAAATAGCATTTTGACATTTATCTTTAGTGTGAGACTCACCCATTCTAGTAACTCTGTATGTTAATGCCAAATGTCACTCAATTTATTTTTATTCTTATTATATTGCATATTTTCTAAAAGTGTTGAATGTGTCCATATTTCACCATTTACCCTCGACTGCTTCACTTTCTTTGGTTGTACTAAACATTGACACAGACTAATCTGGAAGCAACTATTTTAGAGGAGAATAAACGTTTTTCCATTGGCTCAATGGATGTAGAAAACTTATCAGCTGTTACACCAAACAGGACTATTCTATTTATGTTCACCTAGTCAACACGTAAATGTGAAGGTGTGAAATCGATTCTTAAAAAGTCACACAACGTAAACGTTTTCTCGAAATTCACCTCTGTGGTAAAATACTAGGAGAAAAGTAACTAGTCCTGACAAATCACCACGCGATGTGGCCCGTTTTCACAATAGTTCGCTATAATCTTCAGCGTAGTTGTTACTGTTGGATTACAGTCTTGAAAGACTATGGTTGTTTGGTACATCTTTCAGTAACAGACACTGGTATAAAACCTGTCGATCCATTCTTCAGGCGAGTAAGTATAACTATAGTTGCCCATCATTAAGTATACATGTAATTCCGGACCTACTAAACTGTAAATATTTGATCTATGCATTCACATCTACGCATGAAACTAGACTGGTTTTCTGGGGTTCACTTTTCCTAAAGTTATTAATCAACTGCTTTATACAATTTCTCAGACCATATAGTTTTGTGTGCAAAGATATGGCTATACATCTCATTGGGTGACATCTGTTATTAACGATATAAATTGATGATGGATGTTGCCTTATACGCGACAAGTTTATATCCGGTCAATCTATTTCATTATTCTCTTAAGACGATACTCTGCTTTTCTGAAGCCTTGTTTCTATTTTTTAGGAACAACCGTGGTGTCCTGGATGTCATCAAATGTTTGCATCCCGAGCTGATCTAGAAGAACACCTCATTGATTGTTTATTGTGAATTGGTTGATCCTTTTACTTCGTATTATAACGGTTCTGTTTGCTGATAAGTGCTCCAGGATTTGTTTGTTCGTATGCTCTTTAGTATTTCCTTTGTCATTCCATGCAATGATAACTATGTCGACTGGAGATCGTAACCCATCTACCATTCTCAAGATTCAATCAGATTATACTTTGATCTCTATGTCCAAGATGTCCACCCTTTATCATAACTGTTCTCACGTAATTATGAACTAACAATTATTATAATTATCATCATCATAAACATTTACCATATATACCATTGTTTTCATTTCGTTCAGTAATTGTTATTACTTCGTAATAACTTTTAAAATTTAAATACTTAATAATTTAATATATAGAGTAAACATTTGTTTAATCATACTCGTTATTTATAAAATACACATCATTTGCTACAAATTATTAATCTTTATTGCTGTAGTAATTATTGTAATATATAGGTAGACGTGAAATGAATATAATTCTATCGTAACTGTGAATAAATATAACTTCGAATTTCCAAATAACATTTTGATAACAAATAATTAAGGTGACCGGAAGCATTCATGGACTCAGAAGAAAAGTTCGATGTTGCAGAAGCTTCAAATCTCTAGAGTTGCTGTGCATATTCCATATTGGAGTTAATAATGTAATGAACAATCAGCCGTTGAAATTTACTTAATCGACCATATTCCGATTTCTTTAAAACATCAGTAATTCGAAAATTTAGTCATAAAATTTTCTCACATATAATAGTTTAACTGTGATATAGATCATAGAAGTTTCCACCCATTTCCAGCGATCTGTCACATATCTTGAAGAGATTTAAATGTGGCAATTACGTCAAATAATCTTGTTCATTTCAAAGCATTATAAGAACCATTGAGTTTCCCATATCTGTGTCCTTAAGTAAAACATTATAGGATTCATAGAAATCTAACCTACTGAACAGCAGTGTTAGTTCGTACATAATAATAAGTTAACTTTAAATTCTTGCAAATCCTGACGCAGTACTCTGATAGTTGAAATTTAATATGTAGATAAATGATATTACGAGACAACTATATGACAAGAAACTAACATGGAAATACTGTAGACCAGTCAAGGGAAAGGAGAGCAAGCCGATCTCTCAGATTCAAGAACACTTTGAGGGACTCTCGAATAGACCAGCTTCACTGAACTCACCGGACATCGAAGTAGCACACACAAACCTTCCCATAGCTGTCACTTCGCCAACAATCGAAGAAATCAGCATGACCATCAGACAAATCAAGAATGGGAAAGCAGAAGGATCTGACAATATACCAGCTTAAGCACTGAAGTCATACACAGAACTGCAAACATACTCCACGTTGTGATCAGGAAATTTGGGAGGAGTAACAAGTGCCAACGGACTGGAAGCAAGGATAACTCATCAAGATACCAACGAAAGGAAATCTGAGCAAGTGTGGGAACCATCGAGGCATCACGCTACTATCATTACTAGGAAACATTTTCAGAGTGTTGTTGAACCGAATGAATGATTCAGTAGACGCCCGACATCGATATTAATAGATTGGATTCCATAGCATTGGTCCTGTACCGACTAAATCGTGACACTACGTATCATCATCGAACAATCATTTGAGTGGAACTTGTCACTATACATTAACTTCATCGACACTGGAATGAGTAGGTGAGAAGATTGTCGACATCATCCGGAATTTATACGACGGACTACAGTGCAAAGTGGTGTATGGGGAACAACTGACAGATGTATCCCAAGTGACAATCGGAGTTAGACAACGTCGCTAACTCCCTTCTGGTGGTTGACTGGATCATGAAGACCTCCAAATCTGAGGGGAAGCATGGACGGATTACATGCAACTAGATAATTTACACTTCATAAATGACCTGACCCTCCTATCACATACACGCCAACAAATGCAGGTGAAGACAAACAGTATAGTGTCCACCTCTACAACAGTGAATCTCAACATACACAAGGGGAAGAGAAAGATCCTCAAATACAACAAGGAGAACACCAACGCAGTCGCACTTGATGCAGAAAATCTGGAAGGTATGCAAGTCTTCACGTACCTGGACACCATCAGATGCAGATGTAATTGCAAGGATTGGTAAAGTAAGGACAGCATTTCTACAATTGAATAACATATGGAACGCAAGCCAATATCGAATTCAGAATTTCCAATACGAACGTCGAGAGAGTTCTACTGTACGGAGTTGAAACTTTGAAAACTACTACAACCATCATCAAGAAGCACAACTATTCATACACATTTTTCTACACAAGATACTCAATGTCCGTTAACCGGATACCACCAGCAACAATCCACTGTGGCAGAGAACAAACCAGCTTCCAGTTGAAGAGGAAATTAGGAAAAGACGATGGAGGTGGATAGGACACACATTGTGAGAGTCATTAAACTGTATCATTTAGCAGTTGCTAACTTGGAATCGTGGAGGGAAACAGAAAAGAGGAAGATCAAGAAACACATTGCGTCGAGAATTGGGAGCAGACACCAAAAGGATCTCCAATGATGGAGAATGCTGGGGCCACCTATGTTCCTTCGCGATGCTTATCAGGCAAATTATTCAAACGGTAGTCTGGGGTCACGTCCGGAAATTAATCCTTTAAATTTCTGACTTTTCTCTCAGTATACGAGCCTTGACTGTCAGCTAAATCACATTCCCACTGCCGTTGATTAGAAATATCATATCACTTATAATTTCTAAAATTAACGCAATTAGGTATTGATTAGTAGAGGCTGTACGTAACTTCGGATAATTCGGTATAAAACTCAAGAAATACTGGTTTTTCTACAAATCATCTATTTGAAGATCAAGTCAAAGTATACTTTTAGAAGTATTCATCTCATTCTACATTAATTATTCGTCATTGGTACAAAGGGCATCACACAATAATAATGAGAATGTAAAGTGAATATAAGAAAAAGGCGAACAATAACGAACAGAAATTAGTGTATAAGAGTAAATTAGTAATAACGGGAGATGCAAATTTACAACCAGAAAGTATTCTTCCCCTTAAGGTAGTTACGTCCATTTTTTATGAAGAAAGTTATAGCAGGACTGTCACTGACTTCTATTCTGAGCCATATCTGATAACGTCCCAAGTCACTGTATTGCAACATCTCTAGGACCTGAACCAGGGACCAACAAAAGCAAGTCCTGAACAGCTTTATTTCATGCCACGACACCATGTCATACACTAACCACCTCTCCGCCTTTTCCAACCAGTCCCAGAGTCGGCAAATATTGCAGTACGTGGAATCCTCTGGGACGGCGTGACCAAGCCACCGATGTCGATGTCTCAAGATTGTGTCACTAAATGAAGTATCGTCGCTGTGCCCGAACACACGATGCCGAACCTGTGCATCAATAACATGGTTTTGCCACTGGATGACATCAATCCTTCGGGGAGAGCGACGATCGAACACAGAGAGTCACCTAACATCCTCAACTCGAAGAGACCAGGTTTCACAAGCATAGAGCAAAATTGCTCTCACCGACGCGTTGTAGATCCGACTTTTTACAGCCAGACTAACATCATGAAGGTTCTAAAGATGGCCCAGATTTGCATAAGCTGCTCTGGCTTTCATTATACGTGTAATGATCTCATCGCTCACGCCAACACCAGTACTTACGCAGCAACAGAGATGCGAAAACATCCCAACCACTACCTGCTCATTACCCAGGGTCCTACCAGTCTTATAAAAGTACTTTGTACTTCGAAGGTGCAAAACACGTAAGATACCTACGGGCACTAATTGCGAATTGTATGGCTTTGGTATCACCGTACAGTAAAACAATATCATCACTTAGTAACGACATAATCACATTAATTTTAAAGCAAATTATTCCACTTCCACACTTATTCTCAGTAATGTATACTACAAAAATTGGTCATTTTAATGGAAAATCGTCATTGCAAAATGTCAATAGATTTGAGAACGCTTTATACGTAAGTATAAATTGAATTCTGCTCTTTTCTCTGCTGTAGGTTAGTAATGGTAAATTTACCCGTACAGATAAACGGCTAATATTTGCACAAATCTTTGTTCATAACCTTATCTATGCTCATTATAAAAGAGTGCACTGATAACTCCAATAACAACTTTCATAGCTTTGTTTACCAAAGTTTTTCTCACACACAGAAAAGAATAAGAGATAAAATCGTAATCCTAGTATTCAAATAAATACTTTACAGCATGGACGTCGGCTCTGTTTCAAATCTGCAACTGTCACAAATGGTATCCGCACTCTAAAATTCTTGTTACAGAATATAAGTGTGTTCACATAATCCAAGGGCTAAATTTCACATTTTAGTCACACATAATATTGAGAACATCATTTCCCATATAAATCCTACTTTTATTCTTAATTTAATAATGTAGTAAGTTAGTCAGTTGGATTTCAACCAACGGTATTTTCAAGGACACGTATCCGAACATAATCCAATGTATCAAGTGATGTTTCTAGTTTTATCATTTCCTGAGTTATAGGTCAGATGAGATCATTTATCCTTAAGATTATTGATGAACATTGCGCCGCTGGAAACCTCTTCACAAAGTTGCTGCAAAGAAAGTCTGTAGTGTCAGTTATTATGGCAAGCCCATGTACCTTATTCTAACTTCCGGACATCCTATTTTATTCATTTTACTTGAGCCATATTTTGACCTTGTCAATTATTCGCTTGTCAGTCTTGACTGTTTTTTTATATGAGCGTATATGAGTGTACATTTCATGTCACATGATTCATTGTATGTCTGTAGCTTATTTTGTCTGCCTATAAATATGGAATAACACTTGACTAAAATGGAGTTGGCTTCCCAGCCATCTTCCATACGTGTCATTTTTGCTTTGCTGTGCTTCATTCGCTTCATGTACGAAATATATGTATTCTCAAGTCAATTCTCGTTATTCGACTTATTTAATTCCGTTATTGGCTAACGCGATTTAAGTCGACGATGATAAACGAGA